TATAATTTGCGGTCATGTTCATTGATCTCCTGGGAAGCATTAAAATTTAATGATTTATACAATGTGGCAAAGGGAGGAGGGGCGAACGAGGAGGGGGTGGCGTGGGGCCCTGGGGCGGATGCAAATGAATTTATGTTATGTCTCTGCTGCTATTTTGGTTTAAGGGTTAACATTGTGAAATTAACAACAATTTGACTTATGCGCGAGCGAAGGCGAGGACCACACACATACGCACTCCAACTCACACCCATGTGCGTTGGGGAACAATGCACTATGGGGCATTTGACCACTTTGGTTGGCCAAAACCCCTTTTTTTAAAAGTCGTTAAAACAAAAAATGTTGTTTGAGGATGTGTTAACAAAAGACCATTTAACAATGTTACGTTTACAGAAATCCGATAGAGGTCGCCTCTGTTAAGGTAGGAGCTGTTAAATCAGCTGTTTGATATGCAATTATCGAGCTGTTTTATTTCGACTTTTTTCTTGCAGTTTTAAAGTCCTTTAAATTTGAGTTTTTAAGCAATCTAAGTAAACTTTTTGGATTGGATTTAAAGGATTATGCTATGTACTAAGTATTTGTGTGGTTCGACGACAAAAATTAGACGGATTTTTCTTACAAATGAGTGTTAAAGGGAGTGGTCTAACAAGTACATTTTTGTAAGAAAACTAATTTTCAAATGGAGCAACAAAGTGAGTCCAGCGGAGTCCACTTCTGGAACCTATTGGGATTTGTAGATTATTTAATTGTTGTTAAAATGTATATGGTCAGAATCGCCACTTATTGCCACTTTTTCTGTAATTTAATTTTTTAGACCATAACCTCAAATTTCACAAACTCCTATCGTTTGCACTGGTGGCTAAGGAAGTAAGGACTTTCGTGACTTTAAATTATTATCAAAATATAGTAGAAATACTTAGCTTTGTAATTGACTAACTTAAGTGGACTTTAGCGGCTTTAAAACGAAAGTTCCGCTACAACTTGAACAAAAAGTCGTACAAATGTAAAGTAAATTCTTTCCTTTGCCCCTTTTTTTTGAGAACTTTAGGATATAGTCGTCCGATTTGTACAAAACTGTTAATATTGTTTTAAAACTTACATAATTGCTATTTCTAAAGTTATGTGCATTTATCTCCAAAAACAGCAAAGTTAATTGGATCGTTTCTATGGCAGCTATATGATATAGTTTTCCGATCCGGATGATTATCATATATAATATGCGGGAGGATAAGAAATGGCGACTGGTAAAGCTTCAAGTCAATATCTTTTGAAATGACCGAGTTATTAATTTCGGCCAACAAAAGTGGTCAAATGCCCCATAGTGCAATGTCTGAAGCCTAAAAGTATGCTAAACAGCCAGCAAAAGTCATAACTCAGCCTCAGCGGCAGACTGAGAAGGATGTGGATGTGGACGGGATTTCGGGCCAAGAGAACTTGGTGAAAGGTGGAACGGCTGGCGGATGTGGGCTGCAACTATTAATCAGGCTTTAATTGTTTTTGTGTGCGTCGCTCGGTTACATTTGTGGTGCCAGATAGACCGGCACACACATGGATCCTCGCCACGAGGACCTCCACCTCCAGCACTCTCAATGCCCGAGGCCCCATGCATCATGTGGGCCGAAATCTTTTTGTAATCTCTGGCATTTGTCTGGATTTTTCGTAAAGACTTTGAATAGATTTATGCTCCTTTGACAGGCACAAGATGTGAATGCGAATCTTTGGGAGAGCAACCGTCTCACATGAGAGAATGGGCGAGCTTAAAGTGTCTTAAAGATGCAAAAAGACCTCAAAGAAAATGTATAGTCTTCAGGGAGCAGAAAATAAGGAGCTTTGTAAAAACTAGCAAGGATTTTGTAGCCCAGACAGTGAAATATAATAGTTTTATTATTTATCATCTTCAAATTTGTAAGATTTAAATTTTTTACTTACCCAAAAATACGGGTTTTCGTTTTAATTTGGGTGTATTTATATAGATTTGTATTTTTTTTTTTTTAATGGGAATAGTATTCTAAAAATAGTTAACATTGTTATTACATTTAAGTTCTTTCCATTTTATTAATTATACCCGTTACTCGTAGAGTAAAAGGGTATATTGTATTCGTGCAAAAGTATGTAACAGGGAGAAGGAAGCGTTTCCGACCCCATAAAGTATATATATTCTTGATCAGGATCACTAGCCGAGTCGATCTAGCCATGTCCGTCTGTCCGTCTGTCTGTCCGTCTGTCCGTCTGTCTGTCTGTATGAAAGCTGAGATCTCGAAAACTATAAAAGCTAGAAGAGTTGCATTTTGCATGCAGATTTTAGGAGTTCCTACGCAGCGCAAGTTTGTTTCAAAATGGTGCCACGCCCCCGCTAACGCCCACAATCGCTTATATACGATTTTAAAAATTTTAATATTTTGGAAAAGTAAAAATGCAGTTTTATTGTGTCTATCAATACCTATCGAAATGTAGAAGAAATTTTTCAAATCGGACCATTCGTTAAAAAGTTATGCGTGATCAAAGTTTTCTATCTCTATCTCCATCTCCCTCGCACTCCCTTTACCTGAGTAACGGGTATCTGATAGTCGGGGCACCCGACTATAACGTTCTCTCTTGTTTTTGAACTAAAAATTTACGATATCACACTGGGAATAAAGGAATATTTTTCCTAAAATACAACTTTATTTTCATTTTTTTACCTGCTCGGCCGTCTGTTAACTCTCGGCGCTTTCTCTCTCCTGCTGTCTCTTATCAACGTTGGGGCATAAATCACGCGTTTAGTTTGCCAAGTGGCCTTTTCGACCGTTTTGCGTTTAACTGTCGTTTTGGCCACTCTTACGAGTTGCCGCCGCAACTGGCCAACAAGGGCGAACCAACATATTTAGAATATATGGCAACACTTTGGCAACACCGACACAACCCTTGACCACAGCAAGTGCAAAAATGTGAAAAATAAAACCGGGTCCAGAAGCACAAACACAGACGATTGCGCAACCACAGCGCAAAAACCACTCCAAGTTTCGCACACCCTATCCACAACCCCACCCCCGGCAGGCCACACTAACATACATATCCTGGCGGGATTGTTCTGGGAAGAGAGTGTTGTAGTTCGGTTCGGTGTTGTCATTGCCAGAGTTGCCAACGACCAGAAAACAACACGGCCAGAGCTGGCCACACAAACTTGTAACGTAAATTTTGTATAAGCCCTCGCAAACACACCCACAAAGTGTTTCGTTTCGGCATTTGGCATTAAGATCGCTGCCATTGTATTTTTCAATCGGAAGAGGGGGCAGCGCTTTTTAAACTTTTAAAGTCGCATTCATAACCATTAATAAGTTTAAGAAAAAGTAGATTAATGGACGATCTAAGAAAAAAAATGTAATTGTTTTGTATCTTATAAAAAAAATATTAATATGAGAGCTTTAAAATCTTAAACGACATTGTTAATTTAACTGCTTACTTTTCGATACCTGTATAATTGATTTTATGCTTAATATGGTTCAATGGATTGCCTTAAAAATACAATTTTTAAATAACAGAAGTAAATTGCCGTAAAGAAAAAAATTTTCATAATATAAAAAAATAAATAAAATTCATTTAGAGTGCCACAAATTTGTATCTAATTTACCGAAAACCCGAATTGTTGAATTGTAATTTATACAAGTTTTCTACAAGCGCTTTAACAAGTTTTTATTTCGATTTTGTTCGCCTAATCAGCCAAGCGAGGAGTCTGGCTGCCAGAAAATATTTTTGTGTGCATCCAATTGTACAATTGTCTCGTTTGCTGTTTGTCTGCCAAAATGTCGAACTATGGACGGCCTTCATGTTTACATTAATATTATTGTTTATCAAATAACAACAGCAGCAGCAGCAGCAAGAACAGCCATAATAGAGAAGTTGTTAAATCGAAAAGACATAAAAGTATCATTAAACTTTCGTGTCTGGCAATTGGTTTGGTTTGCATTGGTTTGCTTAGGGTTTGGCAGGAATTTAGCTGCCGTTTTTATGATTTTATTCAACGTTTTTATCTGGTGTCTCTCGGTTTGGCAGACAGCAAATTCACATTCTCGTATATTTAGTTTAGCTGTCTGTTTGCCAAAAATCTATGACTGGCCGCCATCCCCATCCATTGACTTTGTTGATTATTTATGCACAGAAAACAAATACCATGTGCCGAGCTTATGGATCTCTTCAAGCTTCAATTGTTTTCACTTTTTCTTGATTTTCCCATTGGCCTATGTTACAGTATTAAAAATGTATTGTTGTTTGCTGATGGATTATTTGCTGTTGATTGATATAAATCCAGTGTTCTTAATTATTTACTTAGACAGCAGGTTGCAATGGAATTTATTACAAAATATTCGACAAGCTCCTTTAACCTTTATTTAAAAATCCACAACATTCCCTGGGAAAACACCACGCCCCCTGGAGAAGAAAAGGCGGAGCTCATTACTTCACAACTCGAAAATATTCAAACAATGCCGTAGATGCAAAACAGGAGCTCGAACTTGTTCGTCTTAGAAAAAAAAAAGAAAAACAATAGACAATAGACAATAGGGGATAAAGATGAAGTTCGAAATACTCTGCTAGGATATGAAAACAATATAAGCTTAAACATTTTTATGATAAATTTTAAAATTTATTAAAATGTTAAATTAAAATTTTGATAGTGTCCAATAACAACGTCAACAGAAGGCACAAATTAAAACTCCGATTTAGGTCAGAGTATCTATAATTCTCGAAGGAAAATCATTTTTCAATGGGCTTAGGTTTCAGTTTAGGTTAGGAGTTCGGGGCAACATGAGTCAGGCAAAACAATGGAGCTCATCAGCAGCAGCCGGAACGCATTGAAAATTGGAAAGCCTGCCAAAGCGAAAAATAAGAAAATTCAATGGAAAAATGTTTTCTGCACAAATGCCTATCACATACGAGAACAGTTGGCTGTCGGAGGAATTCTTGATTCCAGCCTTGTATTGCTGTGATTTAGTCGAACTACGGAACTAAGGTCAAAGGCTATGTGCTCTGTTCGGCTTGTGACTCCCCTTTTTATTCAGAACATAACAACGTTTGTTTTTCCCTAGCGAATGACTGGCTCCCCGTCGAGCTTCTTCAGATTGGGCAGACGACGCACTGCCTCGGCTGTGAAGACAGCCGGTTCCATGCTCTCGTTCAAGGGATTGCCCAGGAACGTGATATCCGAGAGATTCGGCGGAATGCCAATGCGCATAAACTCGGCCCAGTCCTTGATCGCGTTATTGGATATGTAAAGCACCCGGAGAGCCTTCATCACCTCGATGGGCTTGATCTTCTCGATGTTGTTGCAGCTCACCCACAGCTCCTCCAGGGTATCGGCCAAAGGTTCTATGCCATTGAGGGTCTTCAGATTATTGCGTGCCAGGCTCAATACCTTGAGGTTTTTCATTCCCGATATGCCGCTAATCTTCTCGATCATGTTAGAGGATAAACTGAGCTTCTGGCACTCGGTCAGACTGTTGAGGATCGGATCCATTTTCTCAATCGGCGGATACTGGAACTGCAGACCAATTTCTGTGGCCGTGTTGGCCGGCTGCTTATTGCGCTCCTCCCACTTGGCCAGGGCATCCTTCAGGTTTGTGGGCTTGGACATGATTAGTTTTTATCCTCTATTTTATGATTAAGGGAAATTTAAAGTAGAATGGCAACTGTAAGTAAAATGTATTTCAGTTTTCCATCGCCTTCTATTTTTTTTTTTAGTTAGGCAATCTGTAAAATGTTTCAAAATAAATATACAACTGTATATAAAATATAAAACAATTTTCTGAATTTTAAAAATATTTTAGCCTATTGCCTAAGGTTCAATATTTAATTCAGATGAGTAGTGAACCTCAAATAAACTCTATATGTTTAAAGTTTTTTCTTCTATTAAACCGCTTAGTACATTGATCCACCTGTGACGACTAAGCAGCTGACTTTATAGCCCAGGGGTAATTTATTTATTTGCCCATGTGCCCGCCGCTCCCCAATCGCAGTCTGTTGGCTTGTCTGGCGCACAATGATAACTTCATTGTTCTGGTCGGGATTGGAGACTGAGTCCTGGGTTCCTGGTTCGAGGAGGCAGCTCCCCATTGTCATATGCTACCCTTCGCTTCATGTTGGTAATCGAAGGGGGGGAAACGAGCTGCTTTGTGTCAGAGGCCTCCTCGGCACTTTATTACACACATTTGAGGTGATAATACAGTTCACATTTCGCCCCGAGGGACTCACTTTTTGTTTTCCTTTTTTGTCGAACCCTTGTTTTCCTCTTTTTTCGGTCCACTTTAAATTGTACACAGCATTTTGATTAAATATTTGCCGCAGCTGTTATCGCGAGTACAGCAAGCTATTTTTGGGCAATAAATTATTGAATTTATTTGTGCGAATAGCGGCAAAGAGAAAATGTTTAAATTGGGCCAAGCGCTCGATTTTTTTTACCATTTTTCTTGATAATCGTCCAGAAATTGGTAAAAACATATTTGATTTCTTTCCGCTATTTTCGGCTTTATTTTTTGTAATTCAAATAAAATTTGTGCTCTCATAAATTGCATGTTCAATGCGGCAGAACGGACACCGCTCCGTCGAAAACATATAGATAGCATAGCTATGGCCGGAAGGGGAGGAGTCGGGGGAGATGGGAAATCACTCGAAATTGCATGCAAAGTCTAATTTATGAATTGGCCGAAGGCGTTTCGGCGATGAGAGGTGCTCGGATGAGTAGGTGCATATATATAATATATATCTATATATTTGGCAAGTGGAACATGTCAGTGGCGAGGGCGTGGCCAGCTGTCAGAGGAAAGCCAAAAGAATGGCCAGAAAAGTTGGCCAGCGGGGCTAATGGCTATTTTCATGAAAGTATTTGCGATAAAGTTACCGAAGAACGTGAACCAAATATGGCATGCCTTAAAAAAGTGCCAAGCTGTCATTTTGCAGGATTTTTTAAATCGTGACCTCTTTTCTACTGAGGAATAAATAAATTTATGGTCTTTAACTTAAAACAGGGACAAAACAAAGGAATAGTTTATATATCGCACATATTGTTGCGCGAATTCTTCAGAACTTTCCAGTTTAATTTATTATACATCTGTTGTTGAAGTTGATTTCTGTAAATTAATAGTTATAATAATTTAAATTGGTTAAAATTTCTGTTGTTACTCCTTTTGGAAGGTCTATGCACCTATTACCTCACCTTTACTTAATCACTCTGCTGCGAAACTTAAAAGTAGCGCTTCTAAAATGCTTTTGACCAATTAAGCAATGTCCTCTTTCCAGGCGTAAAGTGCCAGCAGTTGGGTGGACCCCGTTGACCATATGGACACTCACATGTAGTCCGATGGGAGGGGGAGTAAGAGAGGTTAGGGGGTGGGAATCGGGGCAGCCTGTGCGGTAGCCCCAGCAGCCACAACATGTCCTGTCACCCAGCGCCGAGCTGGACGTGGACATGCGGTAAATGTTGCAGTTGTTGACAGTCGTGTTTGTACTGTTTAGTTTCAGTTAACAACGCGGCTCGCAGCGAAAGGGCAAGTGGTGCGTGGAACTAGCCAAATGGCTAACCAACTGTCATGCATTTTTTTCTCCTCTATGTCCTTGAGATGTTAGAGATTAGACTGCTTAAGTTGCACTTATACTAAATTTTAATTTAATTTATTTCATAGAATACCTATTCTAACCAAGAGAAATGCAAAAAGTGGAACACTTAAATAGTTATCCTTCGAGATAATTGGTCATTTCATTAGTTTCTCCGACAACTTTTAGCAGAGTCCGAAAATACATCCCAAATTCTCTTTCTACCCCAGTTGCAGCATTTAATTCGCATAAACTTGCCAACATTGCGTTAAGTTTTTGTCCAAGTAACTATGCCATAAGTGACAAAACTCAGCCAAGGACACCTAGTTTTTGCTTGTACCTCGAGTTTGTGTTGTTCTTGCCATAAAACTTTTATGTATGAAAATATTTTTCCGCATAAAACACCTTGCTATACTCGGGCCGATATCGGGAGGGGAAATACGGAAAGAAGGTTGAGAGTGCTGCAGAAGCTTTTGCATATTGAAAACTTTCCCATTGGACAAACAACATGGTGGAGTATTGCCTGATAACAGAGATAGGTTGTAGTCGACTTTTCCCTTTTTCAAGGAGGTCTGTGCAAAGTTCTACAAATTGTTGAGCACATTCTGCAAGCCTTTTATGCATTATTTTGGAAATCGATTGGTTTTCGGCAGAGCTTTCATTTGCACCTTAATTATTCTGGGGTGCCAGATTCAATTTCGGTTCTGTTTCAAAACACGCTTTGAAGAATCAAGAGTTATTATTGTTCCCTTCCGAAATGAATTTTCCGATTCAAGGCGACAGTTTAATGAGCAATCAATGAAGCAGCTCGATTCGGATGCGATTCAAAGGCTTCTGCAGCGACAATGGACAAATATTGCCCGACGTAATTATCAATTTCAAGTGCAGTCATCGAAGCCTTTGTTTGCCGCAATCATAAACGTCAGGCGGCTCACCCACAGGCACTTGGTTCTTAGTTCGCATACCAGTGTCTTGGCCAAAACGGTAGTCGTGTGTGTAGTTGCCCCTCCCTTCGAATCCTGATGACTCAACTGGATAGACTGCTTGTCTATTTGCGGCTGTGTAACTCAAAACTCGATTGCATGTGTGCGGCAGTGGGTGATATATATGAAATTTGGGCTTATCCCCCTGCTTCACCTTCTTCCCCCCTCAGCAATGTTGTATTGATTGGGGAACTGGGGAATTTGTGGGGTTCTGCAACGATTCCAGCGAAGAAAGAGCCGACTCCTGCAGATTCCTCCCTTCAATTAGTGTGTTTGTTTGCCTCTGCGGTTAGAAATGGTCCATCAAAGCCAGGATATCCTCGGGAGTCTGTGTAATATTAGGGACGAGTGGAGAGCAGCACAATCGCTTGTGGAAGCCCCGATTAATGTTCATAGCCAACATGGTTGCAATGTAAAATTGAATATTATCTGGCTTAGTAAATTAGTTGGCTCTTGGTCGAATGTTTGTACCATCTGAAGGATCTTAAGTGTTTGGGATTTCCTCATAATTTCAAGGAATAATTTTATGTTATAAAATATTACTAACAAATTTTAAATATTCATTAACAAATAAATAATGTTTATTTATGCCTCTTAAAAGATTCGTTGGGTGAGTGCTCTATGGCCATTGCATCTGCAAGATGTGACCTCAATTCATCTCAGCTTTGCTAATTTGATTACGAAACAGAAAATTAATGCGGCGACCCATCGTCTTATGGCGATCCCAAAAGGCCTGCAGGACATGTGACTTGTGTGATGTGTGGAAAATGCGGCAGGGCAAACATTTTATAATTTGCTGCAGCACGACGCAGCGCATAAGTCAGCACAAGTCCTGGGACTCGAAGGATGAGGACCCTTGCTAGCCGAATCCTGCCACATGACAGGGAGCAAAAACAGGGACAGCCAGTCGGCATGCGAACTTTGCTCCGGCTCCTTACCGCAAACGATTTTGCAGATGACAGTTGTCCGTTGCCATTTGGGGAATTTAGTGTTAATTATGCTCGTAATAAGTTATATAACATCAGGCACTGGAGATGCCACAGCTTGACAGTCACTCAGTCAGTCGTCCTTCCCCACAATGAAATAGATTCCCTGCACCACAATAAATTGTATTAAATGTTCTGTGTTTAGGTAAGCTAACCGACCGTAGATCGTAAAGCCATCAGCACTGGTGACTGTAAAATGTCCTCACCTCACAGCTTGTCACGGTTCCGAATTTGACTTCTATAAAAGTGAACGCTTTATAATCCGATACTTTTATTGTATTTATGTAACAGAAAAGAAATAAAATAATAAAATATTTGTGAAGAAAGATTCGCAGTGTTAACTGGCTAATTTATGTATTGAAACTATATATAAAACGTAAAATTTAAAATAACAGAAAATCTGAACTATATTAAGAAAATATTTTTGTTAGAGAAATAATTAGATTAATAAAATGTAATTATAAACGCACTAATCAGGAATTTATTTTGGTATTTTCCTGTTGTTTTTCAGTATTTGAAGTCCACCAGTGAGTACTAATAGGCAATCAACACTGGATAATGGGGTCACGGGGAACCCTGAGTCACTCGACACTCCAGATGGGACAAAAACATTTTCTAACTGCAATTTAATTGCGTCCTTTCATGGCTGCAGAATATAAAAGTTGTTCCTCCTTTGCCCTGGCACCATGCCACCGCAATTACATGCAACTGTCTTCCACTTGGCTGTTTAAATTTACATGTTTAATTCACGCCCAGCTCCGCTCATCGGCATCCTCGTCCTCATCGTCATCGTCATCAGAGACCTCTTCAGAAGTTGAGAACACTTAAGACCTTTACGCAAATCGCTTGATAATTACTTAAAATAATCTGCAGACAAGTAACCACAGGCGAATGCAACGCCCACACAGAAACGATGGTCTAAGAAGTCGTGCAAACAGAACAGAGATCTCGGGAAGTACAAAATGGGGGTATAGAAACGATTCCCCCTAAAAAAGGCAAAAGGCAAATCCCTTTTCAATTTCCCTGGCACGTCTCAGCAGCCAACAAAAAAGAACAAAGGAACGGAGGTGGGTGCCTTCTACTTCCCCCTTTTTTTATGTGTGGAAACTCGAAAAACAATTAAGCGACAAGTGTCT